GCTGCACGATGCTGCACCTCTGTATACTCTAACGCGCAATAGAATTAACAACTTACAGAAATAAATTTATGGATCCTAGGGATTTTCTAGAAATCCCAACATTCGTCCGCCATTTTTTATGGATTTTGTCCGATAACCGACAAACAGCAAGAAACATAAAACAAAAAGCACATTGTAGAACAGCCCTAAGAGACGAAAAAATAAAAAGCAAAAAGCAGGAAATAGGAAACAAAAAGCACATTGTAGAACAGCCATAATGCTTGAATAACTCAGTTCACGAGAATGACGACGAGGTCGTGTTTCTCTGTCAGATTCTTTCGTTTTGAGTGAAAACGCGTCGAATGAGTATATTTTTATTAAGATTTTAGGTGGAGGGGGGGGCGGTATTCTAAATAAACTTTTCTTTAATATAATCAAAACATATGAACATAATTTATGTATACATAAGTATAAAAATTATTTGATTCCTTAAATATTCCGCTTTGTGAATTATCTTTCAATAAAGCATTGATTGAAGGAATAAATTTTCTATTTCAACCATGATAATTTATTATCACTGCCATTATTTACTATATACACAGTCTTAGATGTCAAGAACTTGCAAAAAAATTCTAATACCTAAAATATTTTTCAGTATGTATATGTGTATATATGTGCTATATATATATATAATATATATATATTATATATGTACAATATATATATTAAATATATATATTACAGGGTATCCTGCAATTATTGACAAAGGGTTCTTATAGATAAAGCGGACTAAACTAAATCAAAAAGTTTACTATTTTATAATTTTCCCAATGGTTAACGAAATATTAATTTATAAAAATAGCCAAATTCGCCCGGTCTATCGCCAAAGCGCGGCGACATAAGATCACCACTCGCTCAGTCAGGCGCGCATTTGCTGTCGCTAGGCATGTTAATACCAATATCACTTATAAACAACATACGTCGTCTAGTGACTGCGAACGTGCATTTTTCTGACTCTCTGGACTATTTTCTCTCGCTATGCGTTTGTATTTGGCGATAGACTGGGTGAATTTGACTATTTTCATAAATTGATAACTCGTTAACTAATGCGAAAAATGTAAAATAATAGAGGCTTTTCGATTCATCATCAGTTTAATCCGCTCTATCTACATAAAAGCGATTTGTCGATAATTGTAGGACATCAAGTATGTACATATATATATATATATATACATACATATTTATATATACTCATTTTTCCTTTTTCTTTTTTAATGGTTTAATAAATTCTTGTTCAATTTAATCTATACATTACTTTGGTAGCTATTGAATCAAACTTGTTTAGGTACTATCATCCGAGATATTTGGATCATAGTCTGGATCATCTTCATCATCATCTAAATCTAAGTCGTCCAGATTTTGGAACAAACTCTCATCTACTTTTACAGCATCACCTATTTGATCAAAATTACATAACATGACATGCAACATCAGTATCTTTTAGAATGAAAGTCAAATAATTATTTAAAAAAAACATAAGTTACCATCATCTAAAAATTTAAGATCTGATTGATCCAGTGTCTTATCAGTCATAAATAATTCCCTGCCTGTTAACTTTTTGCCTTCGCGATCTGTCAATTCTTTCCGTTTTGTATAGCCCATTTCTTCATCAAATATTTCTTTCCAGTTTAGGAAAGATTCCACTGTTACACGAGTTCCCTCAAATCGTCTCTATATATGAAAAAAAAAATTAAAATTATCATTTATATAGATCTATTTATAACATTTTACCCTTTCTGCTTCTTCTTCCTCTTTCAGCTTTTGTGCAGCATTCTCTTCTCTCTTGAGTTTTATTTTATCCCATTGTACATTAAGCCATTCTTGAGCTGTGCTAACTAACGTAAAAACCATTACCATTCCAAGATTTTCATTCATTTGTTCTATCAGATGTGCCTTCAATTTCTCATCGCCATCCTCAAAATTTTCTTGCTCCATAATTGATATAAGCAATGACTCATCTGGATATTTGGCTGTATATGTAAATTCTAATCGACAACTGAGACCGTTGTCAGTTTCTGGTTCATATTCTTCTGTTTTAATCGGTATAGCAAATGTATAAAACGGTTCTGTCGCTAAAACTGTATAACGTATTTCACACTTGTATTAGTCATAGCAAATAGTAATTCATTATAAAATTCAGTATTAACATTATATAGGTTATAAATATGATGTGCCTTAAGATGACTCTACATGGTCAATAATACTGTCAATATTTAGTGCACACCCACCAGTTTTGGGCATTACCTTTAGTGCACACCCATCAGTTTTGGGCATTACCTCTTACTACATATATTCAGTCATTCGTATTCTGGATTAATTTTCATCACTTTTACAAGTATAGAAAAATTATTAAACGATTTTTATACATATTTTGACATTTTTAGAAAGTATTTGTAAAGTTGTATATTTATAATAAATTATATATAAATTGTTATAACTAAATATAGTTAACTGAGAAAAATGTACTTTTTTATACAAAAATGTAAAATTCTGAAATAAAAATGTTTAAAAGAGAAAATATGTTTCAATATTTTAAAGTTGATATTCCAAACTACAAAAGCAAAAATAGTTCAAGTATCAACTGTTAAAAAAATTTAGGTATTTAGTAACCTAAAAATGATTTTTTTTTTTTTACACAAATGGCTATAAATTCAAGATATATTGCATTTATATTTTAAACAATGCATTGTATTATTGCTATTGTGTTAAAAAAATATAAGTTATTAGGAAAATGTTCTTTATAACATTACAGACAACATAATATATAATATTAGACATTTAACACAAGGATGCTAAAAACCATTGTATTTATTAAGGACTAATATGTTGTTCTAGGGTTAAATTCTTTTTTTAATAATTCACGAAATATTCCTGCAATACAAACGAGAATTAGTTGAAAATAAAGAAAAAAATAAAAACTTTTTTAGTAACAAAAATGTACACTCTATACACATGATGGGTCACTTGTGATCCAGATGAACCTCGAAGTTATTCTAGTTAAAGAATACGCATGTTGAGGCCAGAAATGCACAAAACTTATTCTCTAGATGTCAAACTCTTTTTAGGAATAAAAAAGAGACCGGTATTTGACCAAGTGCTCTTAATATTTCAGAAAAAAGAAATGCACAAGACACAAATGACCTAAAGGTATGTATTAAGGATTAAATACTGACAATGTTACTGATCGTGTGGTTAATATTGATGGATTGACATAGAATACTGACAATAATTTGAATTTTTTTTCGAGTATCAGTATTGCTTTATTAGGATCTATTAGTGAATTTGGTCACTTGCACTACGCTAGATCAGTGCATACTAAAAGCTGCTTTACATGAAATTAGCAGAGTTAAATGTAAAAGTATATATAAATATTTTTAACGCTTAACATCTACTAATGATATTGTTGTTATTTAGCAAAATATATATGTATTATTTTATTATCAAAGTTGATTATATTATATCACTGCATTGAGATATTTTATATAAAGTAGCTTTTAATATGCACTGATCTAATGTAGTGTAAATGATCAGATTCACCATAGGCCTGTTCTTTTTGGCTGAACTTTTGTACCAGTTCATGTTTCTTCTTTTTCTTTCCTTCTTTCAACCAAAAAGAACAGGCCTCATATGTCACTATATATATATATACATATATATGTCACAGTGAAATAGATAATGGATGTTTTTCAACAACGTACACAGGTGACTCAGTGTAACACAGTGAATCATTATATCCTTGTTGTTTGCCTACGTTAAACAAGAATGAAACAATTCACTGTGTTACACAATGTCTGACTGTATCCTTGCTGGAAAGCATCCTGTCTTACACAAAGTGTTCCAACTATGACACAGTATTGCACTGCTCAACACTGTAAAAAGCTAAGTACAAGTTTATAAAATATGTCAATGTTACCAACTTTTCAAAAAGTTATTTAGTAGCTGTACTTATTTTGCAATAAAACCTTCACAAATCGTCAATTCTGAAAAATTATAACTTAAGTCTAAATAAAAATCATAAATCTATTATTAATACGCTAAATATAATTATAAGAATATGAATGGAAAACTACAATGCATTCTGGTTACACTATGAAACAAACTGCGTTTCAATAAGTATCTTATGCTTGGTTTATGCTTCGGCCTTAATCTTAGTCTTAAAAGTTGACAACAAAGAATGTCCTAAGGTCATTTATTCTTAACCGTAGTCTTGTTCTCAAAAAAGTTCCTATCTTTTAATTTTAGTCCTTAAGATTAAGTTAGGACTAATTCTTAAGACTAAAAGATTAAAACCGAAGCATAAACCAGGCATTACACAGTGGAATACAGTATAACGTCTCTTGTGTTCTAGCTGGAAAACAACCAATGTATGTAAAACTAAAGTGAAATATATTGTCAGTAATACTGATCGTATAAAGTTGTAAAAATACTAAAAATCTCGTTACTGATTCAATACTACTGATCAACGATTAATATATATTACTAGACTGCATAGGGTCATATTTTGACATTGGATTATAGGTTAGAATTTTAATAATACGTACTCTCCAATTCTCCGCAATAAATCGACTCCAACGCTTCAATCTCATTGATCTGCTCATCCTTGTAATCCATGCTCAACAAAATAAATATGATCCCAAAAGTTAAATATATATTTCACAATTTTTAATAAGCAGCAAATTATATTGTAGTTGAACCGAATCGGGCGAGTAGAACAAAGAATAATCCAATCAAAATTAAGATGGTGAGGCGCCCCTTCAAACACTGGACGCCTGCGACTACGACGCTTCCTGCTTCCACGCCGCACGGCCGCGCGCCAAGATGGATAAAGGGACTGTGGAAAATAAAATACACGGCACAGTCAAAGCCGGCAACGCTTTCCAAAAAATATAATCGAGGTGACGCAACACCCGAGACGAGAGGGAACACGTCCGATTCGCTCGAGTGGTTTGACGAAACTTACAGCTACAGACCTTCTACAATAAAGCCTGCCGCACACGATACGTTTTTTCTTACTGAATTGCCTATGTGCCCTTATACGGGAAATGGGTAGCTTACGGGCTACACTACTGGCTCGCGTACTGGATTTTCGTAATAGAACCGGTCCTATTTTTCTTGCGTGATTTTGTACTGGATTTCGTGAGAGCCAATCAGGACGCAATCTGTATAAGTTATACGGTTATACCGGTTATACGATCGAAGCAGATCAAAGTGTCGTCTTTACATCAAATTCAAAAGTGGATTCAATTCGACTCCACAGTCGACTCCATAAACGTCGGCGATATTTATTTCGTTGTCGTCGCAATTTTTCAATAATTAAAAATAATGCAATAGCAATTTTCCGACGATGTA